GCGTATGGCAGACTTTCTCCAAGTGCACAGACTAAAACAAGAGAGCCGTTGCATAGCTTAATGGCTAGAAATAAAGGACTTTACTTTAAAAAAAGTATTTGTATGTCATGTATACTGCATTTGGCCCGCAGCCCTGGATAGATTTTCATTTTGGCCCTCTCGGGGAAAATGTTTGGGCACCCCTGCAATATATGGTAGCAGCTGTCATATTCTGTGACCATGTATATCAGGTCACAAATATATAATACAATAAAGGTAAATATACCTCATTGGTAACACCAATGTATTGTACTGACAGACCGGACCCCGCCCCTACTCTCTTTACGGGCAGCGCCGGTGGAGAAAACACGCCGCCCGGATGTTGGGCCGAATTTAGCTTCCGTGTTGACGATCAAACCCCGACATCATCGGCGCCCTTTTCAAACCGCTTTACCGCGTCGAAACTCGTTCACTCACAAGTTTCTCATCACATACGTTATTTTTAATGTAGATTCAGTCATATAATGAGGCTGGGACAGGTCATTTGAGAGACTATGAGCCTCCACACCATGTGTAGCAGGTTGAAGACGGTTAATTAACACCTTAGCGGCTAACGCTTAGCCGCTTCACAACACAGTGTTTTAAATCACGGTGAGTTACGAGTTTTATTGTAGTTATGAGGAGCTAATTGATCCAACCCAACAAAGAAACGACTGGTTAAAAACGTGGAATTTTCAATGTGTCTAAATGTTTTAGCTTGACGCATAGCCATTAGCTAATGCCATTTTCAGACTGGTAAATATTTAAATGACCTGACAGTAGGTTCTGTACAACACATTTATCTAAAAGTGCAACACTGGTTGTGTACAGCAGGTTTATTAACATTACAACACTGGTTCTGTACAGCAGGTTTATTAACATTACAACACTGGTTGTGTTTATCTAACAATACAACACTGGTTGTGTTTATCTAACAATACAACACTGGTTGTGTTTATCTAACAATACAACACTGGTTGTGTTTATCTAACAATACAACAC